TGTGGAAGAGGGCATTGGGGCGGGAGCACAACAATGTCTTTAGGTATTCCCAAGCTTACTACAATAGTAACAAGTAAGGATTTGTCCTCTTAAAAAATGCTGCTATGGATGTTGAGTCTATTATAGGCCATTGGAGAGGCAACATGTTACGATGGATCTTTTTGTTATACGAGTTTTGTATATGCATCATCAATGCTTTTTCCAAGGTATCATATAATTGCCATAAGAGAGCATTGGTTTCTTCCATATAGAGTGTGTTCTAGAATTCTTGCAAGCTAAAAATTTCTTTCTCATATTGGATTTGTCACACTAATTTATCAAATTTTTGTAGTAACCGATTAAGAATTTGATGTACTAAAACTTCATTAGATAGTACCTATTTGATGGCTTTGAGGTCATAGATTTTATTATTTATTTATTGCATAAATGTTGGAACGTCTTAGTGATCTATCATTTGAATATTTTTCCAGTGGTTTAATACAATCATGATATCAAATATGATGTTTGTATTGAACAATGGCACTCAAAGCTCACCAAGGGTTGTGTAGATCTAGTATGTTGATGATATCGTAGCAAAGATCTGAAACTAAAGATAATTAGATCATCGCTTTAGCTTTGTCTTTCCATCTTTGAGTGATATCAAGTTCTAATTGATTTAGATCTGACGATATCTTGGATTCTAGTTTTGTGGAAGATGTCCCAATTGGTGATGGCTATGATTTGATAAGATCCCAAAGATCTTCTTTCTCAAAGATACACTGGAGAATAATAGCCCAAAATTTGTAATTTTTTTGAACTTGTGAGCATGATCTATCTTGAGTATATGGTTTCGAGGTTGCTCATGTTGCTCAAGAAGGCTAAGAAAGAAAAGCAATGTTGTTGATGATACGACAAGAATTAAGTAATGATTGATTATCCAAGAAATGCTAGATTGAAAAAACCCAAAAAAAAAAAAAAGACAAGTTAGGAGAGCACTTGAATCCCCATTGGGATAAATGTGCTTCCCTGTCAAGAAAGCCATTGCCAATGAGAGAAAAAAAGTTGGAAAGTGTTGAAAAAGAAATTAAAATGAACAAGAAACCAAAAAAGAGATATAAGTGAGCACAAGAACAGAATCCAAAAGAAAAAAAAAAAAAAAAAAAAAAAAAAATGACAGATCTCTAGCTCTGATACTATGAGAGAACAATGAAATGAATGAACAAAACAAAAGGGACTTACTGCCTTACTACAAGACTGTTGATGCAGTCTTAAGTACATGTCTACCGAGATCTAAGTATTCGACACAAATGTGAGATCTCAGATCATCCATACAAACTTCATTCAATGATGAAGTAGGGATGAATGTTCCAACACTACTTGCAGAAAGGATTTAAGTGTATTGAATGTTCTCCTTTTGGCTTTGGATATCATTGTCCCATGCATGTTAGATTTATCACTACTCCGTTTGACGAAGTTCCAACCACTTGTTATAATCCACTTGCTTTCCACTGTCAAGGTGTCCAGAAGCTCAGTCCATAATGCACATCCTTTTTGTGCCGAATGCAAGGCAAAAACATTTAAGATGGATATATCACTCTCTGTTAGTCCTTGAAATTAAGCCCATGGAGCATGTCCTGATCTGGAATGGACCAAGGGCTCCATCAAGTGTATGAGGCAGGAAGAGACCCACATACCAATCCCCCCACTATCTGCCCCTTCTTCATTTGCTGCATGATTATATGCTACATCTGCTTCCTGCTTCCTGACATAAGAACCGTGCCTCCAGCCACATTTTATCTTCGATATCTATTAACTTTGTACCCCAAAGCTTGTGTTCTTGGATATACAAGACCTCAGTCCTATTCAAGTTGCGTCATGAATAATTCCTCGCTGTTTTGACTTTCATGAGGTCATTCAAGCCTTGTGCGTTGTGTTTAAACAGAAATTTTCATAATTCACGATTGGAGGAGGAGGGTCAATGATTTTGTAGGTTGCATTCGTTTGTTGTTGAAAGGGGGAGGGGAGGGGGAGAAGAGAGGTTTGCCAACTTCACATTGTTGTATTAGGCGGAGGGATCATTGTCGGCAAGCAGAGTTCAATCTCTGAATGTAACACTCATTGAAGAGGAAAGTCAAGTATTCCAAGAGCTCTCGACTATTCCTTCTTGTAGCTCTTGCAAAGCAGTCAGGTGACTGAAATATCTCCTCGGATCTAGTTTCATTTGTTTTCTTTTGTACCAACCGAGAGTTTTCAGACGCACCTTGTATGGTGCCACGATGAGCGCCCATAGATACAGATTGTGAGGTATGGCCTTTGTTGAGGTCAAAGTCTTGAGGGGCTGCTTTAACACCAATGGGACCAAAATAGTTTCTTTTGGTGCCTCTGTAATCGGCTAAGCCACTGGATTTCTCCCCCCGAATCCCTCGGATCCCAGGTTTTCTTTCGACCAATCCATTTGTATTGATATTGTATGGGATTTGATTTTGATTCTTCGATTAGATTCTGGTTGGAGCATGGCTACTTTGTCCCCATTGTTTTGTGACAGGTTGGTGAGTGCGTCATTCATAAGCTCAGGTGCTAGATCTCCTTGCTGTACCAAGTTGTCCTCGGTTCTATTCCTCAACTTCAGTTCTAGGTGGAAGATCAACAATAGCTTTCCGAGATCCTGTTAGTTTTTCGTATTCCTCGTTTTTATGTATCCATTGTTTTGTCATCAATCATATCATTCGTTTCAAGCCTCATTTAGCTCATTAATATCCGAGAATTCACTTGACTTTGGGGAACATTTCCATCCCCAACCCTATTCATTGCTTCGCCAAATAGTCCACTCTAGACTTTTTTGTGCCGGGTTGTTGGTATTTACTCCGTCCCATCTTTTTTTATTTTTCTTGATCTAGAATTGATGTTCATCTCTTGTTGATCTGCCGAGGCTAGCAGTAGATCCAGTGAATGGTGTTTCGAAAAGGAATACTATTATCCCTTGTGTGGGCGAGTGAAGGCAAATCACTTCTTCGTTCGATATAGGTTGGTTTTTACCTGCGTGGTTGTTCTTTCCGCTTGGGGAATTTGACCAAGGGGCCAAGTGCTCTCTGATTGTGAATATGTATCCACAGTTCGTCTTGAGTTTTACCCAGCTGAACACTTGTGTACCAAATGTGAGGTGGATAGATAGTGCATGCACCGAATCAAGAGGTTGTCAGAGTCCACCTCGATGTGTATGATGCTCTCCGTCATGGAATTATTCGATCCAATCGTGAGGTTATAGGGGCAACCATTCATAAGAGCAATATAAAACCCTTGATCTACTCCGTTGCGGTTGTTTTTGTCTCTACCCAGCACGGTTCCAAGATTCTGTGTGAGATCCCTCGCACTACTTACTATCTCATCAGGTATCACCTTCAAAGTTACCCACGTTGGCATTTTCATGCCATTCAGGCTGCTCGGATTAAAACCTGCCATCCATAGTTGGAGGATGCAGGTTCCCTACTTTGAGATTTGCGGGGTCTGCATGAGGACCTTTTGCGAGGTTATTTTCTCCTTGCTTACTAGAAAAAAACCGTACCCTACGTCACAACCCAGTTTTGCCTCTTCTTTGTACTTGCCTTGTAGTTTAGCAAACCAAGCTTGTAGTGATTTGTCCAATGGACGGACTCCCACAAAATAAGCTATCACTGCACATCATTGTAGGAAGGCCATTTTTGTTTTAACTTTCTCTTCATTTAAATGCACTTCAACCACACGCATACTCAAAAGGAAACTTGTATTACTTCTGGTTAAGCCTTCCGGAAGGTTTTCACCAGGAGTGGCATGGGTTGGATTAAATGCCGCATACTTGCCTAGATTTTCCACCGCCATGATCAACTCCAGTTCTACTCTATCCTCCTTGCGCGCTCTTTCCATGCTTCTTCCATCTTATGAGGCAATGGGCACCACCGATGCATGGGCCAGCTTGTGCTTATCTCTACATACGTCGCCATCTACAACTTTGATTAAGCAATCTCACTTAACCACGATTGATTAATCAATTAACACACCTTAGGCAAAACCCTAGTGTACTTCTTAATCCCACCACAGTTCTCTCTTCCGACACGGGTTTTCACAAACCCTAATGTACTTCTTAATCCCACCACAGTGCTCCCTTCCGACACGGGTTTTCACAAACCCTAATGTACTTCTTAATCCCACCACGATGCTCCTTTCCAACACAAGTTTTCACTTTCAGCCGATGGGAACGAGTAAAGTTTGAGCTCTTTCACTCCACTGTGATTGGACCTACACTCGATCAAGTACACAATTTACACTACAACTAATCTCGAAACCCTTTCGCTTTGCGACAGCCACTCCGAAGCATCATTGTAAACCCTCCAGACTTTGGAAGCTTGAAGAATTCCAATTAACTTGTTTTCAAGAGTACTGGAAGATAAGTGTGATCAAAGAACAAGTCTATTTGATTTGAGATCAACACCCGTAAACAATTATTACTTTACAATCATTCTAGGATTGAACAGCAATCCATTGTAGTACAATATCATAGTTTCAAATGTTTTAAAATCCTGATTCTATTCAACTTTAATATAGGTATTGTTCCATGTTTGTTTCATCAGTATCATAATCCAAAATGTGAATCCACAATTACTTTGTCAACCTCTACGCCGTTTGACTATTGAGAGGTTCCACGCAAAGAGTTGAGTTTTGTTGGTTGATATCACAACCCGTTGAAAATGTTTCCTCTACTCATTGAAGTTTATTTCTAGATGTTTACCTGCTTCAGTGTGTCAATTTCGTCACGTGTTATTGTCAACTCCCACTTGAGCGCCGCAATCTTGTTGTGAAGTATTTAATAGAGTCAAAAGTTTCAACGAACAGCTTAGAAAAGCTGAAAGCATTCATTTGAAAATAAATGGGTCGAATCGAGGAAGACCGAAGAAAGTTGCAAAATAATGCAGAGGAGGGGGCCATCACACATGAAACTAATCAAAGTACAACAATGACCTCAGTGACGAGGGACATACGGTTCTGAATTCACTGTAAATGCATGATTTTTCTAGTTAGAAACTCAGATGCTTGAGTTTCTGCCCATCACTCTATACAGCGATAAGGACTCGAACCATATGCAACTCGAATTCGTCCATCTATTTGGACACACCAGCTGCGAACAGACCAATAAACAGCTCACAGCCCCAGAAAGCTAACCAAAAAGCAAATAATAAGACAAGTCTATTCTCCAGCACCAGTAATAAGTGCGTGGGCGCCAAAGATTAAAAACAGAACGCCCCCACAGATGGCCACCTGCGTGCGGTGATAAACTCAGGAGTGTTAGCCATCACCAATATCTGGAGCTTCAGAGAAAACAACAACTATGAAAACCAAAAAATAAGCGATCACAACAGGTCCTACAGGACACAACGCTTTAATAGACTCATGCTACGATTGATGACAAACAAATGCAATCCAGATAGCTCGAATGGACTTGCACGCGACATACCGTTTTCTCTGAAATTCGGCTTGCTAAATGCTTTCCTCCGATGACGGCAGCTCCAGTACAAATCCCATGGCCCCTACATTATTCCATTACTCACCCTTAGTTCAAATTAAGATATACACCGTTGGCTCAAATGACAACCACCAGTTTAGAAAGGGTAACCAAAAACTGATTGTTCAAGAGTCAGGACAGGGCCTCTTGAAAAAAAGCAGCAGCAGCAGCAGATTTCCTAGAATTTAAAGCGCGTATGATTGCAAGATGATGACTATTTCCCACTTCTGATCAAAAAACAACCTCCCACCAAGGAATTCTTGACCATTGAAACAATGACGCGTAATCTGAAACTATCATATTAAAAGTGTAGCAAAACGAGGAGTTACAACGTATATAAAATGCACTTGTAGAAGAGAAGGAAACGTACAAGATGCCACCCAAAGTTACTCCCAGAACATCTTCTTGAGCGGCCAGGCCTATTGTTGCGATCTGATCCAACATGCAGCATTTAGATAGTGAAACACTAATGTTCTCTTATGTTCGCATTGGATAGCCGAATTCATCAGGTAAAGAAGTTTCTTGATCAAAATTGTCTCTAATTTTCTGAATTTCATTCCAGGGTAATAAGAGGTAAAGGAAACACTCGACACAAACACAAGCATAGGGTCAGGATTGGATCACGTTACCTGGCTCCGATCACCCCATTCTCCTAGGAATGTGAGAGAGAATGCCTACACCATACATGCACGCAGATGACACATAAGACACGTATTTCGTAATCTCAGCAAGGTGCCAGTCAAAAATCTTTCTTAGGCATGAAATTGACCTCGAATAAAACCCCATACCTCCAAAAAAATAGGTGAAAGCAGGCCACTGTTTTGCTGCTTTTTTCCATCTTTTGTCTGCAACACAATCAAGTGGCAGCTCGAGTGGTTTGAGAAGACGTAGAAATTTTGTATATTGAAGGGCAGACATTTGTATACTGCATAAGCAAGCGTCCACCCAAACAAATGCGAAGCGATGCATAATGACACTACCTTTGGCGATTTGGCTGTGGCATTATCATCACGCTTGTCCTCCGCTTGCAAGTGAGCTTCTACTTCCGCCAGTTCGGCGGATTCTCTGCAACAAAGAGCCGACACGTTTATAGAACCCATGATAAATAAGCGATTTAATGGCGACTTCATGAAAATCAGGTGGTAGAGAAGCAGTTCCTTATGTGGTAATGCAGTAGTTAAGTAATGAATAAGCTCTCTCTCTCTCTCTCTCTCTCTCTCTCTCCGTGAATGTTTTTGTGTGGAGTAAACAAGCTGAAAGAGACAACGAACTTTGCGGGTATGAAGAATCTCACCCTCCTTCATGCGTAAATCCATCATACAATGATCTCAAACCAAATAAGAAAAACAATGAAGTGGCAGCATAATGTGTCCAATGTCGGGGAATCTGCAATGAAGAAAGTGTAGAAAGAAAATCGTGAGAAATAAATTGAAAAATCTGTTTTCAGGTGCAAGTGTTGGAAGTTCTTCGATGTCACACACTTTGTCATTAAACATGAAGTGCCAGTAAGACACAATAAGTCTAGAACTATATCAAATGATCCAGATAAGTTACAAAATCCTCATATCGTAGCCAATTCCGATTCATCAGAGAAGTTCGGTCCCAACTCAGAGAGAACGTTCAATCAATAACCAGAGCAGGTTTGAATGTTACCAAGTTCGGAGCTGCCCAACCGAACAAGGCAGACAGAATAGTCATTAGCTGCACAGATAAACAAATAATAGGTTCAGCTTTATCGCATGCAGCTAAAATCTTACGCTGTTTTGAAGACATCGCGGATGCATGGGAGCTTAGTTAAATTTTGAAAAACAGCACAATCGCTCACAAAACATTTGCAGATAACCGAGGATAAACTTTCAACATAATTGTTCAACTACACAAATAAGTAGCCGTCCACACCATTCTCAAGTACTCTGGTAAATCCATGCAGCCATATAGAACACACCACGAAAATACGAAATACAGGTACCATAACAAAAATAAGAAGTTTGTACCACAAAACAGGCAAGAAAATCTCATTTGTTTTACTTACCCCAAGTGCACTGTGACAACCAGCAAAGACTATCCCTCGAGAATAACGCATGGCCATAAGCTGCACGTACCATTTTAATAAAATTTAGGGTCGCGTCGCATGATCACTATGGTGGTGCAAACGTTGTAAAAAGGACAGTACTCGTGCAAAGCTAGAACCCAACATATTTGAGGTAATGTTTCACACGTCTAATTCGTCATCTTAGATTGCTCAGCTTTGAATGGATTGCCAAAGATGGAGCGTTAATAGAAAGAAATAGGACCTAACCAATATTCTAAATAGAACCCTTACCGCTGCTACAAAGAAAGTCTTGTCTCCGATTTCAGAGACCAGGATCATGGCTGTCGACTTGATAAAACCCTGCACCCAGAATGAAGCAGAGTAGTTTTCAGCTAAATCGTCTAGAAGGAATTTGGAAGGACCACAGGAAAATGGCTAGTGCATGTGACAAAAGAAACAAAACTCGTTCCTCTTCCGTTAAGCCCACTCTTTACGGCCATTACTACAGATAGCTTATAGTGCCACTTGGGGCATCTTCGGTAGCAGATGCTTTCCAAAGCCTATTTCCGCTGCAAAAGTAAGGAACCCTGTACGTAACGTATTGGATTCTTTTATTTGAATGGTCACGGGGAAACATGATCGTCCCTCAAACTGCAACTTATTCTTATTTCTTTCTGTTTTTTTAATAGACAACTCGAACCAAAGATATGGTGTAAGGATTGACCTCCAGGAGCCCCATTGCGCTTCTTCAACACTTCTCCTCACCTGCCAAAACTTGATCCAATGAAAAAGGCCAACAATAAGCGGCGGCTCAAATAATAAGTAAAATTTGGACCAGCTATAGAAACGATAGAAAACCAGAGAATCAACCAGCACGTAATGAGACTTTAAAACAGATGATGGAGTATGATGCACCTCTTAGTCATTAGAGATTCAAGACACACTCCACATTAACCAAAAATTTCAGCAAATCTTCAACAGGACTCACTTGCGATCTCACTTAGTGGCTCCCATTGCGGGATTCTTTCACAATTGCCAAGCATATGACAACTTGGTAGTGCCTGGAACCAACTGGATTGAAGGAAAGCATACCATAGTTATCGAGGAGACCTTGAATTAAACTCTTCATAGTTTTCAAGTATAGATAAGAAAGTTCAAATCCATCGTACCAAAGTCCCCCCATACCACAGACAAATTAATGGACTGATAGTGAAATCAGAAGACCACGCAACACTCTCTCAACCAACAATCATCTAATGACGACAAGGGGGGGGGGGGTCAATCAAACTTGAATACCGTCGGTGGATGTTTACACACCAAGGTCAACAGAGAGAGGTCGGAAATTCATAGGGGAATTCGGTCAGGCGTAAAGCTTTCCCCGAGATAGGGATAACAGAGGCAGACAAGCTTGACCTACAACCTGCCTAACGGCAAATGACATCCTTCTGAATACTATTCACAACCCAACGACCAGGAAAATTCGCCGCCGCAGCAGTTGACAATGCGCCAAAGTAAATAAGCACGACATCCTGGCCAACCGAAAAACGAAAAAGGAATGAACAAATAAAAGGTCGCTAAACTATGGAGGCCACTCGAACCACAGCACCTGATTCATCATCCTCGCCTCGAGGAAAACAATTACTTTAAAGCCCAAGGCAATAAACTGCAGCTTCTGCTAACTTGCTAACTTGCTAACTCACTAACTCGAGGCTAAAACCAGACAATACGAGGGCGTCCCAACCAAGGCCCGCATTCAGAAATCCAGTGCAACAGAAGACTGCGACGCATGCATTCCACAATAGGCCTGCACACACCCGATACTCTAGGAAGGGCACTCAACCGTCGAGACAAGCTAGGTTTCAGCTTTGAAATCAATGATCATCTCCGAGGCGATTCAAAAATCAATAAATAATACTCCCCCCACAATAATCATCAGTCCAGTTCTATCACGCGGAGATCCACACCTGAACAAGACCGCAATGAAACATCCCACACCACAGAAAACCGCAAAGCGCTTGAGAGTCTAAAGCCTTGAGGTGAGAAACCTGAAGTGAAGTGGTATGAAGAAGGCCCTGGGTCGATCAAAAACCGCTCCAAAGCAGACCCAAATCTGATCGGTTCGCGCCGCCCGACGGCTCGTTGTGAAGCTCACTTCCTCGTGCTCCGACGCCGCGCAGGCCGAGACCCAGAGAGCACCTGGAAGCGCGAGGCGATGGCGTGAAGCGATTGCACGACACAGGGAAAGTCTCAAAGAACAGCCCCTTCCCGCACGAGCCCTCCTCCTCCTCCTCCTCCTCCTCTTCCACAGTCTCTCGGTGGTTGGACCTTGGTGGATGAACACTCTCGCTTCGGACTGAATCATCATCCTCATTCATCCATCCATAACCCCCTATTCAAGGAGAAAGAGAGGGCATCCAGTCTAAGAGGGAACAAGGAACGAAACTATGGTTCATGGGGGGTTCATTTTTATTACTATATATATCCACAACATTTCTACATGAATTTTCATGCTGGGAAACTATGGTCTTCACGTGAAGACAGTTTCATCCGCACTTGTAAACATAACACTGTGTGTGTGTTGGTGGGAATGAAGGATGGATGAATAACACATGCTTTGGAGCTTCTAAGCAGAAGTGATAGTAGTAGCAGTGTGTGTGAGTGGGGGGGGGGGGGAGTAGAGAGGACTGAAAGGACAAGAGAGTTGTGGGGATTTGTGGGTTCTTTCTAGTGGAACAAGAAAGGAAAAACTCACACTGTGTGCTTCTGTGCCAATCAAGCTCAGATTGTGGAAAAGGATGTGTGCTGAGAATTTTGTCCTCTGAAATGGGTAAGTTGGAGGAAGGAAATTAAAAATTAAAAATTAAAGGAAAAAGAGACACAGAGAGAGAAGCAAAAGTGATGGAATGGTTTGTTTGGTTCCACATGAGACTATCACTCTCAAAAGTGGTTGGGAAATGTGCCCACTTGCCTTCTTCCTTCTTAATGTTGGCTTCTTCTCCCTTTCTACTCTACTCTCCTTTATCTTCTTCCATTTTTAAAAATGTGTGTGTGAGAAAGCCACCTTGCATGATTTCAGTTCAACACCATATACACAGGGTGGCAGATGCTTGTGCAGAGTGTAGTAGTTGTAGTAGCAGTGGAGGGTGTGTGAGTGTGTGAGTGTGTGCATGGGGATATGTGTGCAGAGTGTTTCTCCCTCCCTCGGGAAATGATAATTCCATTTTTTAACTCATTCTTTCTCTCTCCATGTCCTCTCCCATTTGGTACCAATTGGTGCAACTAAGAATTTAGTTGAACTTTGTCTCCTGCTCTTTTATCAACATTCATATGCCAGAATCCCACAACCAAGTGTGTCATCTTTGTGGAAATGTGCATGCTTATCTCCTCCTCTATCCCCCCCCCCCTCCCTTCCAATAAATTATTGGTGCCCTAAACCTCCACCCTTGTTCCCCATTGTGTTCCCCCCTATGGCAATTTTTTTTTTTTTTTTTTTTTTCTCTTCTTAAATATTTTTTCTTCTCCTTTCCATGGTGTGAGGATCCCAAACATTTGATATATGGCAAAGCTGGCGGACTGTTCATAAAGAGGCAAATCTCTCTTGATTACTGGGTCCTCTTTTGTTCATTCAGTTGTGCACAGGGATACATGAATAAGGCACAGTTGCCAACAATAAAATCTGAGCCTAACAACCCATATCAGAAGACATAGACTCCCCCCCCCCCCCCCCCACACACACACACAACAACAACATCAACATTAACAAGGAAGAGAAAGAGGAACAATATAAATCCAGGTTGGTTTTATCTGCTTGCCCATATTCTAAGGTTTAGGGGAATGCACTTCCATTCCTTTCTTTCTTTGAGTTGTATTTGCTTGTTTTAACCTAAATTATTATTATTACTATTTTAATGGGGGTGTTGAAGAAAGCTGTGTTTGGGTGAGGTATCCATCTACCCAACCATAGTTCCTGTTTTTGAAAACTACCTCTTGCCTCAATCCCCCCTCCTCCTCCTAAAAAAGCATAAAATAAAATAAAATAGATGCTCCACTAATGAGGCAATACAAATATTAAGCCTATGTGTTTGACACACAATCTTCTTTAGAATCAAACAAACAGGCAATGAGTATACTCAGACTGGTACAGTACTCAGCCAGGAATATCCCTTCCCAAACTAAATAAATTAAGAAAATAAAAAAATAAAAGTCACAAAAACATCAACATCCCTATAAATAAACAACTACATCTATCTACTATTTTTTATTCTTTTTAATTTTTTTTTTCTGGATTGCACGCTTGTTCATATTGTAATGGATGTCTTTGGAAAAGTTGGATTTGCCACATTTCATCCACGAATATCATTCATCTATTCTAATCGATGACGTCGTTCATCCAACTACAGTCAATGAAAAACAGTCGGGAACGGGTTCTGACCAATCGGTGAGGCTCCAAGAGCCCTTGATTAGGATGGTGACTGAGGTTTTGCCACGTGGCATACTAGTGTGTGTGGTTCTCATTCGGCCACAGCCTCGGCTAATACTCCCAGTCTACGCCGTAGTATGTACATATTGCGTACATATACGGTTTGGACTGGGTACATTTAGTGTCCGCATTTGCAGCTTCTACGTTAGATTGCAAAATGGGTTCAATTGACCCCATGAACATTTTGGATGGATGAATAACAGCAAGCGTGATTATAGTCGATGAATGCATTCATTCTGCAAAATTTGTGAGCAACGGGCCATAGACTAGGTTCCATTAGGCAATACCTTGCACCCACATTATTATTGTTTTATATTATATTATATTTTATTTTAATGTAATGTTAGTTATAATATACAACCAAAGTGCATTTGAAGGTTCTTTTAAGAACAGTAATGTGTTTTTAAGAATGAATGTGTATTAGTTTAAGAGTGATAGCAAACTTCTCAAATGTATGAAGGTATACTTTGTTTAATAAAAAAAACTACCATATGTTGACTTGGAACTAAACAACTTTCTACTGCTATACACTGTTTATTGTGGTTTCAAAACATGCATCGGACCACTTTGATATCAAATGTTTATTGCCTTGATACCTGTAAGTTGATTTTTGTTTGTTTTGTTTTGTTTTGTTTTGTTTTTTTCACTTTTTGTAAATTTTAAGGGCAATAATATTATTTGATGCAATGACACTTTCAAAAAGATCATGCTATACTATTGTCAAAGCCACCAACATCTCTAATGGAAGAAGTTTGACTGTTACATGTTTTCAAATTATAAAAGTTATTATTCTATAATATTTCAAAATAAAATTTAAATTTTTTATTAGAAGGATGTTGTGTAAAGATTTCATTTTTTCTTTATTATTGCATTTATTTTTTGAGTGCTGATTTAAGATTTTTTTTCCTATTGAAATAGTATGCACTCTACTCATATATTATATATTGTTATCCTATATATGTCCAAGTTAAGACTTTAATATATTAGCTAATTAAACTATGCTAGGATAATGTGACAACCCATTTTATCTGTTTTTTTTCATATTTATGAAAAAATGATATATTAAATAGCAAAACATATCATTTGCATGTATTACAAGTAAGTTAAGGTTTTTCAAAAATCAACATTGATGTTAATAACATTTTTTGTTGAGTTTTATAGACACTTCATAACTATACACACTCAAAATTTACTCATTTTTTTATTATTTCGTCTACAAAATACTTCAAATTATAGAAAATTATTTAGATATCTTCAAATAACAGCATTTGTGATAAAAAGAGAGAATGATGAGGCACATAAAAAATGAACATAATATGCAACCCAAAAAAGTGGAACCTGTTTAATCTTATATTTACAATAATAAATTTCTTATATTCTTAATACCAAGACCATGTAATCAAAGTTCCATTAGTCCATAGATCTATTAAAGAGACAATTAGAGAAAAAAAACAATCAACAGTTCTTGATTATCACACTACTTGTGGTTCAAGATGCTACACTGATACCTTTCTTATGATACTTTAGTCCTCAAATGTACAGACATCAAACATGATAAATTGCTTGATCTTACATAGTAATAAAATTTAAATTTTTGATTTATTATATGTATGCACATACACAAAGATAAAATTATAATATGCTAATTATTTATATTATTTAAATCATTCTAAGTAGTAATGGTGTTGAAAAGCTAATAAAGAATTTTAGGTTATAAAAAAACCTTACAAATAAATATATGTATGTATATATATGTATATATATACATATATAAAATTTTATTTCGTGAAAACTTTACACTTTTCAAGTTATCTTTGAAAATGGTTTCTTCATTTTTGTTTAAATTATCTTTGATATATTCTAAAAAAGAATGTCAAATTAATGTAGGTATTTAATCATGTTTTATTTTTAAAGATTTTAAGATTTTATTCTATTTATTATTTTTTCCAAAAATTAGGTCTCACAATTAATAGCCATAAAAAGTTTGGATTTTTTTTACTCAAAGAATCACATTCTTAAATACACCTATTGTATTGTTAGTGCAAGCTTGGACATGTACTTAGCCATTAATGATACCATTGGTGTAAAAGTTTGAGGCCCTATTTTCATATTTTCCAAGATATACAACACTTCTAAAACATGTGGAAAACAATCTCTACGATTCTCAAGATACAAAATATAAAATAACCATTCATTTATTTCCATATTTTTTGCTACTATGCATTCACGTGAATCTCTTCAAGATATATAATTCAAATCATAATATATATATATATATATATATATATATATATATATATATATATATATATTCATACTGACTTTTCAAAAAATATTTATTTTATGATAAATAATTTTATAAGATAAGGCTAACATAATAAAAACTATATATTTAAATATCTATTTTTATAAATATTCATAAAAAATTGATTGTAAAATTAATTATTTATATTATATATATATATATATATATATATATATATATATATATATATATATATATATAGGTTTTTTTAATTAAACTCTTTCATAAATAATTGTTAGGGACATATTCCTTAGAACTTTCTAGAGAGAAGTTTCTAGAACCTTCTAGAAAACAAGCCTCTGGAACCTTCTAGAAGAGAAGCCTCTGGAACCTTTTAGAGAGAAGTTTCTAGAAGCTTCTAGAAAGGAAGTCTCTAGAACCTTCTAGAAGAGAAGTTTCTAGAAACTTCTAGAAAGGAATCCCCTGGAACTTTCTAGAAGCTTCCTAGTTAATAGAAGTAGCTCGAGAAGTTTCTAGAACCTTCTAGAAAGGAAGTCTTTGGAAC